TGCAAAGTTATGCACTAAAAGCTCACGTGAATACCATTACCCTATACAGCAGGTGATAAAAAATGTGGCGGAATTTGATGTAATCTACTATAGGCATACTTGTGGGATATCGGTTTCTTGAGGGGCTTTCACAGCAAAGGAAACAGGATGCTTTGCCAGCGGGAAAGAACCAACCCAGCACAGGTGCCCTAACTGGGAAAACGGAAAGAAATGCTGGCAACATCACAGTGCCCTACCAGGAGGTCTCTCACATACACACTGACTGTGTCAATCAACTCACAATGCAGAGCAGATGCTCAAGCTTCAAGTCCTAGCTTCTTTCCAACTTTTCTTCAAAACAATGATCTTCCAACAAATATTACGGATCAGGATGGATAAGGTTTGAGAGACCAAACATGATGGAAAACCCAAACTTCCACAAAAGATGATGGAAAATTCAAAAGAAACACAACTCTTGTCAATGAAGGAAGTAAAACCATGTAATGGTCTAGCTGAATTTGAGTGGGGAGTGTGAAGTAGTTTATGATTGCTGAAAAGAAAAAGAAAAAAATGTTTCCGCTCGGGTTCGAACCGAGGACCTTGTGCGTGTGAAGCACACGTGATAACCACTACACTACGGAAACCCACACACAACTAGACCCAGAACGTAGCCCTGATGCCAATAGCAACTTTGCCTGGTGACGGGCTTGGACAAAGCAACCCCTCCTCCCTGACAAGCTCTGGACACAAGCAAACACGTGGAATCTACGGAACAAATTTGTTTCCCGAGAGTAACATGTACACTTAGACTAGTATGTCAAACCTACTCAAGTCGTTATATTCTGAAGTGCAACGGCTCACGCAGCTCTGCTTTCCACAAGCCGAAACACTTACACAGGGTTCACACCGTTACAATGTGCAAAAAGAAAGAAAAAAGTTTAAAAAACACCGCGGTTCCCTTAGAGACAAGGCCACTGAGGTATTTGCTCTAGATCTAGTATATTAATTAGTTTACTAAAGTGTCTGAGAGACCGACAGCATTGGGTGACCAGGCGTTATACCAAGACCGCCTCCCATGCGTGCCTCACCACCAACTAAACTGGTCAGAGAGACAACTATCACCTAATTGAATCCCGCAGTCCTTGTATTGATACAGATAGGGCCGAAGAGAGATGGAGATAGAGAGTGAGAGGCTGCTGAAGGCCTGTTACACATGGGCGGTATCACAGTTCGACTCTACGGTAAGCTGCCTTAGGGGGTGGCTTTCACGGCTTGAAGTCGAGAGCTAGAGGAGGGAACATTGCCGGTGCTAATCAAACTAGCCACCTACATTGGCCAGTGGATAATTATCGAAATATGCCTAGTTCATTTTCGGCAGGCTGAAGAACTTGACGGTCAACCCATCAAGATACTCGGTGAGATCTGTAAAGTAGTGTTGATATCATGTACGCTCTCTCTCTTTTGCAGATAAGGACAAACCAATATACGCTGTCAGCATTGCTTTTCGAGGTGATCAATTTCCCTCAAGGCGGCAACAGACGTAATAATTCTGTTGTCATAATATGCCAACGAATGAGTACTGCGAATTCCGACTGTTTAGCCCCTAATAAAAGCACGTTTAGTTACCGCCAACGGACGACAGAGCGGTATTTCAGGGCCTAGAAATTAACTACCAGGTCATATCTATTAGAACAGACAGGGGAAAGTAGAGTGATATCGGACCCTAGGCCACTCCAGATACAATAATATTGGCAAGTTTATGCATAATACTCCCGCCATTCGATCTTGAGGGGCAAGTCCACTAAAACGGTACACACTGTGATACCAATCCTGCATCAAAGGTCATAAACTGTGTACGTTCATACCCACAAATGTACTACAACTGGCTGTACCTGCCAAATAGGTGACAAGTTGCCCCTCAGGAAGGTGGCGGCCATGTTTTATGCATAAACCCCATTCCAGTGAACAACAAAGAGCAAATTCATTCGAGCGCGACACCCTTACAACGAAACTACGAATCACCTCCCCCCCCCCCCCCCACTATACACAAACACTTGCGAGACGCCATCTTTACAGACACACATCGTGACGATGTCGCGCGTTTCTTCACAAGACAGGCGGGCGGCAAAGTTTGGCGTCAAGCTATAGGCTGACAGCTCTATGGTCACATGGCATGCCACTGACAGAACGGGACTTGACCAAATACGGTCCCAAAGAGCGGTGTTTGAACTTTGAACACACATGGCACACACACACACACAAACCTCATGTCGTCAACATGCCGAGTTAGCTGTCTTGCAGCAGGTGTATTTTTGGTAACAGATTCCAGCACGCACACTGCATGGCTGCCAACGCTTTTATACGCGTGTACACTTCAGAGAGGAAAGGAGAGCACGCGTGTGCGCCTGTCCACCATGTTGCTAGCGTCCAGAGGCGTCCATGCAGCCAGCAGGGATGTGTCAGAGTTGTGTCTACGCAGGCACAGCTCTCTCTCTCTCTCTCTCTCTCTCTCTCTCTCTCTCTCTCTCTCTCTCTCTCTCTCTCTCTCTCTCTCTCTCTCTCTCTCTCTCTCTCTCTCTCTCTCTCTCTCTCTCTCTCTCTCTCTCTCTCTCTCTCTCTCTCTCTCTCTCTCTCTCTCTCTCTCTCTCTCTCTCTCTCTCTCTCTCTCTCTCTCTAGCTCTCTCTGTCTGTGCTGTGCGTGATGACAGGCTGCAGTGACATGCAGCGTGACCACACGCTGTAGTCCAGGCCTGGCATTGTGTCACATTGCCGTGTGTGTGTGTGTGTGTGTGTGTGTGTGTGTGTGTGTGTGTGTGTGTGTGTGTGTGTGTGTGCACCAGTGCACACGCCATATGCCTAACAGGGATTAGCATGATGAATGGCCTGCAAACTACACTCCCAGCCGCCCTGTGTCCTGTGTCTGCAGAATCCACCCGCAGACAGTGCACGTACATTTACATTTGAAGGGCTCCAATTCAAAACACTATAAAGACCAAACCGGAGCTTTTGCGTTTTTTGTCACGAAAGAATTCGTTTTCACCCACGGACGTCCAGGCTTATCTCCCCACCTACATTACACACACTGTCGTGTCTGGACTACAAGTATCAACTCTAGATGGCCACGAAAGTTTTTAAATATACACGATAATTTGTAAACCTTTGGTCCTCTTTTTTAAAATTGTTGTTATCCTTGGCTCTCCATCTGAGTTTAATCTGCATACATGATATAATTATAGTTTGAATTGGATGAGGTCAGGCCTGGCATATCTGCAGTTTCGCCTCCTGGTATATTAGTAAGCAGACAGGCTGGACCGGTTTTCATACAAAATATGATAAACTCCGAAGGTCAGAACTGATAGCATCAGCACTGCCAAACCAACACACAGCTATCATCTCACCCTACACCTTCGCCCATCCATTGAAACACAAAACCGTCTCAGAGTCGGAAGTCCAAAACACACTCATCGCCAAGAGCAAGTTCCTGCTTCACAATGACTGTTTCCTGGCTGATACGGTCTGTGCCCGTTGTCTGTGCCCGTTGCGTCGCCGCCGTTGTCGTGGCCCTAGTCGTTACTGTCACCAACACTGCGTCTGTTGTTGTGGTACACCACCATTGCCATTGTCACTGCCGCCATCATTGCCGTTTTCTTTGCTGCTGCTGCCAGCACCAGTACTGTTGTCACTGCCACCACCACCATCACCACCCCCACCACCACCTTTCCTCCTACCAGCACCACTGCAGTCACCGTTGCCACCACAACCGTCACTACCTCTTCCACCACCACAACCGTCACCACCATCACCACCACCACCACCACCACCACTATCACCGTTAGCGTTGCAACCGCTGCCATTACCTCCACTGCTATTCTAGCAACTCCGCAACCACCGCTGCTGTGTCTGCTGCCCGAGTTCTTGCAACTGTTACGGTTGCACCGTGTTGTTTTCATTTCCATAGTTCCTGCCACACATGCTGCTGTGTGTACGGCATCAGTGCGGGGGCACTGCAATGTTAGCTTGTTGTTACTACACGCTATTGCGGATTTGTTTCTAATGCTCTAGTTACCAAGGTCACCATGACATCCGACAGAGCTCGTACACTAGCGCCGACACCGCATTCGCTGGTGACAACTGGCATAGTGACAGGAGTGTCCATGGCTTGGCTGTGACATGGCGTGGGTGACATTGAGATGGCAGGCAATGGTCTCTGGCACACAAGACTCACACGCACGCACGTAAGCATACACAGAACGAGCCACAATCGCACACTCACGCCCATATACACCAGGATGAGAATGACCCTAGTATTAAAAGCGCAGGTCTACATTTTTCCCTGGTCTACATGGAGAGGTTGCACGTGGTAGCTCACGAACGGCTTACTGGGGATTTCCCCCTTTCAGAATGGCTAGGCACAGTATATGTTATGGAACGCCAAATAGAAAATGCTGTCATCACGGCCGAGTTGGGAAGCCATGAGAAGCAGACTAGCGCCACAACGCCCAACTATTCACTTCCCTTATGGTCATCCTACAGTCAACTGGGAACTTGTGGCCAGGCACAAGGGGTACATGGATGCAGCTAATGGGGTTTCTCGACACTTGTGCCAGTGGTTGTGAGACTTATCCACTCACCCCCACCGTTAGGCGCTGCATCTGTCGCTAGGGTTTACCGGGTGTTAGCGGCCGTCGTGAGTTCCCTTTGGGAACGGACACGATCATTTACTTTTGCTATGGTCATGAAGCCCACTCAGACACAGAAAATCTGCATACATAACCAATCTTTTGGGGAATTGCATGTGTGTGTGTGTGTGTGTGTGTGTGTGTGTGTGTGTGTATGTGTGTGTGTGTGTGTGTGTGTGTGTGTGTGTGTGCGCGCGTGTGTGTGTCTGGTCCAGGACCAGGACCAGGTGTGTGTGTGTGTGTGTGTGTGTGTGTGTGTGTGTGTGTGTGTGTGTGTGCGCGCATGTGTGTGTGCGTGCTCACGCAAGATAACCCCAAAGAAAGCAAACAGTTAGTTCTTACCCTGATGACATGGATCCTTGCGGCACCCACATGCTTGGTGTGTCAGCCTTGTGATACTCGATGGAGGTCTTCACAGTGCCCTCGTGTGTTTCGTAGCGGCTAGGGTGCACAGGGACACAAGCATAAGAGAGTGGTATATTCATACAGGGGCGTCGGAAGGTAATTTAGTGTGGTACGGTCAGCCATCTGTAGTACAATTTACTTGTGGGGAAGGGGTGGCTGAGACGAAACGTTTGGAACATTTAGAGCCCAAATCATTGCATTATTTTTTATTGATTCACAGGGTATTCGGGGCAAATAGTGGTACGATCAATACCGCAGTGACCGTATCGTGTGCGACGCCCCTGTCATAAGGGTGAGGATGTCGGAGAGTGTTGCATGGTAAGAGATTCAGAGATACGGCAAGAAAGCCGAAGAGGAAGAAAAATAGAGAGAGATAGAGAGAAAGGTGGACAACACCACCACCACCACCACCCTCACAACCACCACCAACAAGAACAACAAGAACAAGAACAGGAAGAACAGCAGCAACAACAGCAACAGCAGCAGCAGCAACAGCAAGAACAAGAACAAGAACAACAACAACAACAGCATATCATAAGAATAAGGATTTGAAAGATTTGAAACCAAGAACAACAATAATTATTATAGCAATCCAAGTCACACTTACACAGAATAATCTGCAGATTCAATGCTGTCTTTACGCACTCCCTGGTCATACATCAGCACAACACCACTGGCTTCAGATGTCCGCCGCTCTCGATCCTTTGCCAATTCAGCAACGGGACGTTGACGCCTGCAGATCCTGCACATGCCCGTGCACAGCAATGACAATGGCACACACACACACACACACACACACACACACACACACACACACACACACACACACACACACACACACACACACACACGCACGCGCACACACACACATGCACGCACGCACGCACGCACACACACACGCACACACGCACACAAACACACACACACACACACACACACACACACACACACAGACGAAGAGTCAGCATTAAAACCAGCGTGCAGTCATACCTGCATTATTAACCCTTTGTGCGCTCAACGAGCGATTTCGCTCGTTTCAAATGCGCGTCACATTTTTGATCGTCGCGCTTGACTGGTTTACCGCATCGCGCCGAGACTTCACCACCGCGTACCTGAGAAAATTTCCGTGACGTAGGTACTAAACATGATGTAGGTCGCCACTAAATTTTTTTTGATAGCACGCTTTGAAAGAGCCTTTGCAATTATGTCAAAATTAGAATTTGGACTTATCCAGCGATGGATGCAGACGAGGCGCTTCGCCTAATACAAGACGCGGACCAAGCAGATCTCCCAGTAGAGGATATCGCTTGCTCTTCAGGCGACGAGGTAGGCGACTCGGACAACGATTTTATTTCGTCTGACGAGGAAGATCGCCTGAATGACGATCTCTTTTCCGACTTGGAGCAAATAGGATCCGATTCGGCTGACGATATCGCTATTCCTGTTCCCGTCGCTGCTCGTGGACGTGGCGCTGGACGAGGCAGAGGCCAAGCAGTAGGTGTCCCCGCGCGTGGAAGAGGGCGAGGACGTCGAGCTGCGACAGGGCGAGGACATTGAGTTGCGACAGGGCGAGGACGTGGAGCTGCAAGAGGGCGAGGACGCGGAGCTGCAAGAGGGCAAGGACGAGGACGTGGTATACAGTACGAAAATTGTAGTGGCTATGATGATGTTGACCAGCTGCAAACCAATACACCTGAGTTCAACATAACTGGCACTGGTTTGAACCTACCTGATAATTTCGCTCCAACATGTGAACTTGATTTCTTCAAACTATATTTCCCGGACGAAGTTGTGGATTCAATTGTCAAGTTTACAAATTTGTATGCGCACGAGCATATCGCTGAAAAAAAGACGTACCAGACGGATGGTGTGTGGAAGGAGACCAACCGTAATGAGTTTTACGGCCTCCTTGCATTTCTCTTCTTCCAGGGATTTCATCCTCTGCCTGCGACGAGGGACTACTGGCGCGTTACGTCGTTGTACAACGGAAACTATGCACGCTGCATGATTCGAACCTACCGGAGGTACTTAGCGCTGATGTGCTTCATCAAGATTGTGGACTTCAGGGCAGATGATATAAATGATCGACTTCGTAAGGTGCGATACCTTCACGACCATCTGCAGGCGGCCTGCAAGCGTTTGTTCATCCCTGGCAAGTGCGTTAGTGTTGACGAGCGCATGGTCAAGTGCAAGGGACGCGCTCCTTTTACGCAGTATATGCCCAAAAAGCCCGTCAAATGGGGCTTCAAGGTCTTCGCTGCCTGCGACGCCCAAAGCTCCATTGTTGTAAACTTTGAAGTTTACACAGGCCAGCAACCTGGAGGTGAAAATGGCCTGACTCATGCTGTGGTGATGCGGCTGGTCAGTGACGTGCGCGCCGGAAGTGTGATCTACACGGACAATTTTTACACTTCCGAAACCCTGGCCACATCTCTTCGTACCAAGCAAATATCGTTGGTTGGCACCGTCCGCGCGAACCGCACTGGATTTCCAGCCGTATTGCGGACCGACATGAAACAGTTCGAGAAACATGCAGAGCGAGGTGCAACACGCTATGTTCGCAACGGAGATCACCTGTACCAGCAATGGAAGGACAAGCGGTGTGTGTCAATGTACAGCAACATACATCAGGGCCATGAGCATGACACAGTAACAAGAAATGTCAAGATTGATGGTGCACACCAGCAAATGGAAGTGCAGAGGCCAATGTGCATCAGAGACTACAACAGCAGCATGGGTGGAGTCGACACGTTCGATCAGCTGATCGAAACGCACCGTGTGCTTCGCAAAACGAAGAAATACTGGAAGAGTCTCTTCTTGGATATGGTCGACGTGTGCGCTGTCAATGCATACCGCCTCTTTCACTTGTGGCAGAGCCAGCATCCAGGGGTGATAAGTCGACGATGCAACTTGCAGCACTCGGATTTCCGCTGTAACCTCATCCGGCAGCTGTCATCGATTGATAAACATGCACCGCCACCGAAGCGCTCGTATCGCCCAGTGCCTGTTCCGCAGGATGTCCAGGTTCCTGTTGCTCAGCTTCACATACCTGGAGTGAGGAAAAGGAAGAACTGCAGAAACTGCACAGAAGTGGGTAACAAGCAGCACCAGTGTGTAACCTACTGCACTACGTGCGATGTTCACCTCCACATCACGAGCGACCACGACTGCTACGCCGCTTACCATGCACGCCACTTCCCGTGAAGGATATCTTATCTCAGTGCTGTGAGTTTCTATCTTGTCTACTGTATATTTGTACATAAAAGTATGGTTTCATTTCCTTCCGATGGTGCGCTCTGTAAATAATGCGGCTATACACTTGATTATGACAATATGTGCCTAATATGGCAACATTGGTAACCATGGCAACATTCTAACATAGTTTTTTGGATTCAGCCGAACGATTCCATTCAGAAAAACACAACTTCTAATTACATATTCTCAAAAACTGTGGAGTTACAGGGGATTATTGTCGGAATGGAAAATTTGGTCATTTTCTCCGAAACCAGTGGACTCACAAAGGGTTAAGTATGTAACTGTGTTGTTTTGAAAGGGGTACACGATATGGTACCAATCTATTTCATAGCAATACACTATAAAATTGCCTTTAAATGAATGAGCTTCAAAGGGGTCCAAAATCACCAGAACCCCTTAGGATAAATTCCATTTTAATCTTTAAAAGAATTTCGTGCCAAGAATACTACATGTAGTAGTTGAGCAATGACGGCAAGACCTGAACAGAGCAATGACGGCAAGACGTGAACAGAGCAATGACGGCAAGACCTGAACAGAGTTTTGCTAGTAGGATAACGATGCAACCGAGGCACAACGCGCAAAAAACCGGCATAAAATGATAGCGTACGTCATTGAGTGGCTATGAATGAATGACAGAGGGAGTCGTTACCTGTTTATATGCAGTGATGGCGTTGTGGACACATGCACGCGACGGTGACTGCACTGGATGGCGGTGGTAGATGACACTGGCAGATGGCGTTGGCTTGTGACACAAGGAAGCCTAGTGTTCGCTGCGGTTCACTGAAGGCAATCGTGGTGGTGGCTACACAGGCATATATTTTCATATTCTCTTTATCTATCATTTTTGGAGAGACTCCCAAGAGAGGTCTTCATTTACCTCTGGAGAATCCAGACAATACAAAACAATTCACATGTGTGCCAATGTGCAGCAGACAGCTAGTTTGGGACAGCGGTCTAGTGGTGGTAGTGCTGATGTCAGGCTGCATCAACCACTGAGCACGCCCAGTGACTGGTCAGACCATGGGAGTCAATGGCAATGTGTATGTGCACAACAGCAGCAGCAGCACCACCACCAGTAGCAGGAGAAGCAGCAGGAGCAGAAGACACAGACCTACACAAATACACACAGGGTTGTGCCTAAGGCCGTGGCTATGGCATTCATGCATGACTATGACTGAGTGATTGACTGACTGACTGACTATAGTCCATTTCAAAAAGATTAGCAATCAGGTTTTGCTCTTAAAAAGTATGAAGATAAGAGAAATTTGAACAACACAGTACACAGAATGGCTTGTTAGGACATGGCAAATTGTTCTGTGAAGGTTTCGGAACAATTGGACCAGCCGTTAAGGAGTTAGAAATTCGGCCAGGTTTCCGGCCTTTTCCCATGGTTTACAATTTGCCCTGGATGTCAGTATCGATTTTTTTATCAAAACCCACGATTTATCCTTTCCTTTTTGGCCTTGTGGTTATGAATGCTGTCTGCTGACCATGAAGTTGTGAGTTCAAATCCAATCTATCTTGAAGTCAAACTTTTTTTCATTGTTTTGGTGATCACGGTGGTACAAAAAGTACAAGCCAAAGAAGGTGGCTGCATGCGCCAAACGACTTGTTGTTGTTGGAGCTCGCGTTTCCTGCCGAACTTACTGAGTGACACTTGACTGGTTCACGCCATGTGAACACAACCACAACACTGAAATGGTGTGCGTGAACACGGAAGTCATTGCGCTGTAACTACGTGTTGTTGAATACAACGGCACATCGATCGATCGATTTCTCTTCGAGAATTATTTTAGTATTTCAAGATCGCCAATTTATTTGAATTTAGGAGTCAACGCCGTCTTCTATCAGCTTTCACAGGCGTCTGCTTTTCTCAAAATGTCGTCGAAGTCACACGGATAGCTTTGCCAAGTCATGGCCTTGGGAATGAGTCAGTGTCGATGTCGTTTTCGTCACATCGTGAGAGTAAATTGCATCGCAGCTCAAAGAAATTGGGCACGAAACCCATCCCGCTCGTCAACATTCACCACACTTTCGACATGTCCACTCCATATCGATACGAGGAAGAACTCGTTTGTTGTAAACCAGACGTACATGTACCGACGTGAGTGAGTTGTCTATTTTTTATGCTTTCGCGCGGATTATTTCTTCGAGTTCACAGTGAGTTTTTCCAGTCAGCTCGCCAGCGCCCATACGGTAAGACGGCAAACTCCCCGGGCGATCGCCAGGATTGCTAATCTTTTTGAAACTGACTGTAGGGTAACAGATGGTAACAGGTGCTGACAAGAAGGTTAGTAAATGAACCCTGCTGCACTGGCTTGCGGTGGGACCCAAGATAAGGGAGAACCCCTCCTCCATGCATGACAGGATGGCAGCATGCAAGTATGACCTAGTAAACATGCGTATGGTGAAGTCCCCCGACCCAATATTCAGTGTGTGCATGGGAAGGAGGGTGGGTAAGCCCAATAGTGATCTTCCCGGGTGGTCTATTTCCCGGTACACCCCAGGTAAGCACTATAAAGGCATGCAGGTCAGCCACAAATAGGGAATATGGGGCAACACTGTCCCCGACAGCCAGCTAACTTGACTGAGGTCCACAGGGCTCAGCTAATCACATAGTTGCATCAATGTGAAGGCAACCATGACATGCACCACTGCCATTGTGACCCCTAAGGAAGGGATTCCACCATTCTTATTTTCTTCTTCTTTTATTTCTGTGTGTATGTGTGTGTTTGGGAAGGGGGGGGGGGGCATGCCAAGATGCACTAGTGTCAAACTGCATTGGTATGGCTGCACAAGAATATGCTTGTTCCCTGGACAGAGTCCTGTGCATCCTGGAAACATCACAGCTTGCTGCAGCCATACACCGTCCGGTGTGGGTCAACAGCAGGAGAACCCCGGTCCCGTCCAACGGCATCAGGGTCAAAATTCAGAGCACAACATGCAGTTGAACAATGACTTGGGATGGCAGGAAGACAAAGAGACAATGATTTGGGATGGATGGTGAGCGCAGTGACATACTCGACGAGACATGGCATGACACGCATATACGCAGTGAAAAGAGGCGAGCTCCAACAGTAGAATATCCCAACCGGAATTGATAACTGACAGCGAAATATTTTTTCGAGATGGCATTTTAGTGCGCATAGATCATGGTGTCACAGAAAGAAAGCGCGAGAGAGAGAGAGAGAGAGAGAGAGAGAGAGAGAGAGAGAGAGAGAGAGAGAGAGAGAGAGAGAGAGCTCACGAGAGAGAGAGAGAGAGAGAGAGAGAGAGAGAGAGAGAGAGAGAGAGAGAGAGAGAGAGAGAGAGAGAGAGAGAGAGAGAGAGAGAGAGAGAGAGCTCACGAGAGAGAGAGAGAGAGAGAGAGAGAGAGAGAGAGAGAGAGAGAGAGAGAGAGAGAGAGAGAGAGAGAGAGAGAGAGAGAGAGAGAGAGAGAGAGAGAGAGAGAGAGAGAGAGAGGGAGAGAGAGAGAGAGAGAGAGAAAGAGAGAGAGGGAGAGAGAGAGGGGGGGGGGAGAGAGAGAACACAACACGGCGACACAAACTCAACACCTGTTCGATAAAAAAAAGCAAAGTGGCCAGGGCGGCTAAACACCAGACGTATATGCTGAGATCGGTAACTTTGTAATGGTACAAACAGGAGAGGAGGAAAAGCTTCAGGAACACAACACCTCATCATGCAGTGTAGTCAGGTCTACAAGACAACTTCAGTACATTTCTTGACACCATTGCCCAGCACAGGCCAATGAACACAACACAATTCTTACTGGGCCGTAAACCGTGCATACACACAGTGGTGGTCGGCCTGGCGTCCACACAGTCCCGCCTTGCCCTACGAAGAAGCCAGAGCAGGTAGATCTCTCCGATGATGCCGATCACACTCGCTGTCCCTACTCAGTGTAACTCAGGCCCCAGCCTGCATGGTGCACATGCTATTCTGTTTCATTTTTCGTCATTCGGCCCAGTAAAAAAACTGTGCAAAGCTCCCTTTCAAGTGCGCATTATCCAGTGTTAACATCTCCGGACGAAAATTCAGTTCACTGTTACGCTGACTTCTCCATAAGGCAAGGCAAAAGTGCGGCGGGACAAAACGTGGAAATGCGGAACACTGTCAAATAGGACTACAAGGTACAACAGCGGCAACTACGCTGGGCGCCTTGGAACAAAACTACCATAAAAGAGAGCACGGGGCTTTTGAAACAGCTGCAACGTGGCAATGCAGGGAGAGAGAGCATTGCGTTGAGCTCAATCTATAAACGTTCCCTTCGAGTCATGTGTCCAACACAAAGGAGACAAAAAGTTCGGCGGCAGCGACTCGTTGAATCAAAAACTCAACAAAGAGGGATGGTCAGGACGACTTCATATCTGGTAAATTCTCGAGCACTGATGCAGCAGACATCAAATGTGAACGACTCCTGTGCACTTCTCCGACCCAGGCACGAGCCTGTCCTCGACCGACGTCGGAACAAACAACGGGATGCTGACGCTTTTCTCGCCGCTATCTCCGGTCTTGTCGTTGTGTTGCGACGGTGAGCGGTCACGTCCCGAACCAAACCGCTGCTGCTGGTACTGGTGGACGTCCGGACGTAGCGGAACGCCGGCTTCTGCTGGCTCTGGTGCTATTTGGGAGCTGCGCAAGGCCTTGCCACACCTGGACACAAGGAAGACGAATGGCCAGGGAGAAGGATTCAAAGGAACCATCAATGTCAGCAGCACTACAACTCCGACATGGGGGGGGGGGGGCAGAAGCAAGGCAGGACACAGGACAACACAGGTCACACCCCACTTTAGGTAGTACAGGGCACCTGTCTAGTTCTAGTGTGTTTATACAAGTAGCAGTCAAAAATGACGACACGAACATGGCCTCACTGTAGCGCGTGTGTACAACGAGGGGCGCATCATCTCGCTTTTTCCGCTGTCATTATTATCTTTTCCGGTGGGACCACTGAGAAGTCTTTCTCCCTGTACTCCACTGCTAACAGGTTGCGAACATGAAGTGGCAGGACCAAAATTTTCAGAGTTTTTTCAAAACGAGAAACAAGAAGAGAAAGGAAGAATACGGAAGAAACGGCCGTCGAGGCATTGCCCATTGGTGGAGTGAAAAAATGGGAGATAAACGGCAATGTGACGCAAAGTGGATGCCTCACAGATACTGTAATCTGGCGCAAGGTCAGGCCGAAAACCTGCACTGCACAGAGATATATTTGAGGATCTGATGAGATAACGTTGATTGCAAAACAATGCACGGCTCCGTAGCTAGCCTGAACACGCAAGAAACGGCAAAGTGCCGAGTAACACAAACAACTTGAATTACTAAAAAAAAGGGAGAAAATGGAGTACGGCTCGAACTGAAAAGGAAACGAAACTGGGGACTGCTCAAAATTGGCCGCAAAACATGGTAAGAAACCATACCATACAGTAATTTAAAAAAGAAAAGGCAGGCATACATTGTTTGGCAGGTTGCTAAACTAGCTCAAAGGCTGCTTGCCACCAGGAAAGGGGCAATACTAAGTTACCACTACAAGTGGTTGCATAAGATGAAGTAACCACATGTACAGAGGAAGTGGAAAAGCCAAAAACAGAAAAAACAAGAGAAATAAAAACAAGGAAACGGAATCACATGCGGAGGGAGAGAATACGGCAACGTGCAACACTAACTTGTCCTATTTTTTCTTTTTTCTTGGGGAATTGTAACAGTGTGTTTGCTAGCAGTTGGTGACCAGGGGAAGCATGCAAGTGGATGGGTGACAGCTATGACTGATTTTGATGGAGCGTATTTAATGTGGGCATGCAGACCATACATGCACTACAGATGTGTTATACATGAGCAGAGTGAAACTTTTTTGTAGGATTTTGCATTTTTTGTGGCAAAAGTAGGAGAGTGGCATGCAGGTTTCTGTCGAACTTCGTGCGGGTCGAGCAGCCCCTGGCGAAGAACATGACAAAGGGACTTGGGAAAGCGGGGTGCTCAAATATGCACAACAACATTAACAAAGGGGAGAATGGCATGCAGCAAGCGCAGCGTGGAAAGCATTGTGATGGCGCGTGTGCGCGCGTGTGTGTGCACGCGTGCGTAGCGTGGAACGCATTGTGAGCGTGCGCGTGTGTGTATGTGTGTGCGTGTGTGCGTGTGCATGTATCTGTGCGTGCGCGCTCGTGTGTGCATGCGGGCCGATAGTCATAGACATAGGGCAACATGCAAACGGAGAACCGGGCCAATGGGATGGGGATGGCAGGTGCAGCTGAGCACGTCAGCCAGAAGAACCGTGGCCTAGTTTCAGATAGGCTTGCCCGAGGCCCTGGGGTACGGGAAGAGGGACAGGAAGAAAGAAAAAAAGAAACAGGGAAAGACAGACAGAATGAGAGAGCAGGAGTGGTTGCTGACGGCTGAAGAAGACCGATGATGACAATACAGAGGAAAGAAAGGGAAGGAGGTGAGGTCGAAAAAGGATGGAAGGAAAGCGTCAGACTTAGCCTACCATGTACAAGTACTGCTGGGTTGTGGGAAGTGGCCTTACAAGGCATGCCCTCCTACCATGTACAAGTACTGCTGGGTTGTGAGAAGTGGCCTTACAAGGCATGCCGTTGGGATGTCTCCACTCTATTTGTTGCGCTTTTTCTTTGTTGGATCTACCATTGAGTACACGTCTCTGGGAGGTGCAGGTGAATCCGTAGCCAGGGACTCCAAATTTGGTGATGGCAGTTGGTTGTCAGTGGTCGTGCCCTGGGCCGCGTCAGGAGGAGGCTGTGTAGGAGTTGTTGCCAGTGCTGGGGCCTGCGGTGCAAGGTTGGTTGAATCGACCGTCGAGTACACGTCCGGTTTGGGAACCGCAGGTGAAGCCGAAGCAGGGGAAGTGACTGCGGCAGCGTTTGGCAAGACCTTGCCGATGTGGTCGTACGTGCTCGGGTCGGGACCCTCCCCAGTCGGTTCAGCGTTGAACGTGAACATGTCGTAGGTGTCACCGGCCGGGTCCGCACCAGGCTTGGCGGCTGTTGGTGGCAGGGCGACGTCGTACTCATTCTCGGCCTCTCCATTTGCTGCCATCTGACCAGTGGTATTTGTGCCCTGTGCTCCCTGAGCTGTGGTTGCATTGGGTGGAACGACGTCGTAGTCCCCTCCACTGGTCAGGTGGGCGGGAATACGATTCATCGGGACCGTGGCAGGAACGTTGGGATCGTGTGGCGGTATAAAACCCCTCTCCCTGTTCTTCTTGTTGATCTCAATAAGGCCAGTGTCTGGGTCGAGAATGGGGCCAGCATTGCATGTGTTACGCACACATACACCAATACATAATGCCACAGCACGGAGAAACCAATGCAACTGGTAACATTTTAAAGCTAAAACACCACATTATAAGCATGATATTATTTTACTCTTTTTCGTGTGTTGTACTTCACGTACTGTAGTACATGCACTGGGGCCATGGGATGCAGAGAGGGAGAGGCTTCACAGTTGCAGCATAGTACGTGTTTCCCCACTTATGCATGTACAGTCAACTTTGCGTATAACAACACTCGGCGGCGGGGCATCAGAAAACTGTCCTTATTCGCGAAGTGCCCTTATACCCCAAGTCTCATTACATGTGTTACAGTTAGATGGGACTTTGCTTGGGACATGGAAATTCTGTCGTTATTTGCGAATTGTCGTTATATCCGCAGTCGTTATTAGCGAAGTTGACTGTACTTTGAAGTACATTTTGCTAGCTTATCTCGCCACTATTCGCAACACAGTGATAAATTTCACCCTGCTGATGCGTTCTTTTCGCTTTGATGCGTTCTTTTCTTCCGATTATTATTATGTTCTTCCCTTTTTCTTTCTTTTTCCTTCTCTTGCCATGGCTGGATAGCGCCCTCTCCTTTGCATTGGCTTCTGCCATTGGACGGTGAAATAAAATAAAATAAATAAGATGTTGTTGTGCAGAGATTTGACATAGTTTTGGCGTTGGGGGCTTTGTTGACCTCAGGCAAGTGCCACTACAAAACTTGATTTTCATTTCGGCTCGCACCGTCAATGGCCTGCTAAGTTAAAATTCCTTGTGAGACGGTCTTTTCTTGCCACCAAGTCGCATCCACTTTGCAGCACTTTCTCCGGGATGGTGCGTCATTGCACAACTTCTGTAGGAGGTTGTAGTAAGATCGCTGTTTACAGGAGGAGATCTCTTCCTGCAGCTAATTTCAATTATTATCTCGCTACTCTCATTACTTACTGGCAAGAGTACATAACTCCACAGAGTTTTCAACCACCAATGGTTGCTGTCGCCACTACTCATCTTTAGAAGACAGGTCATGCTGCACCCCGTGAGGAGCACGGGAGGGGGCCACTACGTCTTTCTGCCTTCGTTCAGCATGCGCATGTTCGGGCGAAATGGCGGGGACCACAGAGTTCAGTGGCTGCCGGGAAGTCAGAATCGAGTGCCAGTGTGCCAAGTTCACGTTTACCTGTAGCTAGCTGTATGTGTGCTGCATAGCTGTACACTGCAATTTCTTACTGCTGTAGGTGCGGACTGATTCAACAAGATTTTCGGCTATGCACCCCTAAAAGCTGGACCAGATACGTAACTGGAATAACTCCATTCCTCGTGATCTAATTAGGCCCTATGTATTTTAGATGCGAAGTCAACCGTGCACAATGAAGTTTCGAGCACCGTCAGGCGCATTGCACCGTGAAAAAATAAAATACGTCAAAAATGAGTCGTGACTAGGGCTGAAACGATATGCAAAAACTGCTTAACGATAACACTTATAGCTTAACAATCGATATAACGATATAACGATATTTCAAGCCCGCATTTGGCTGGGTAAGGTGAGTATAGTAATGGTATAGCCACCAAAATGAATTAATTATTATGAGTGGTGACATAACACAGCTAACATGTCGTATTACTGTTCAAGCTACTATCAACCAGACGTTACTCTCCCACCCGTTCTCTGCAGCCAGGACAGGCAGCCACCATATTCGAGGCTTCATCATGGCTGAGGGCAACTAGCTGCTCCTCCTTGATGCCAAATCTGCGTACCACATCTTGCGTAGAAAGAGCCAGCTTCTCGTCAGTGTGGCTACCACTGAATATTGCTGTTTCAAGCACACCATTCAACAACGTCCATTCGCCGTTGACGAAGTGAACAGTGTGCGTGATGAATGACTGCGTCGCTGTGGACGTCCAGCCATCACTGATCAGTTGTCAAAGAAACGCCCGCCATGCCGTCGGACCGAATCAACGCCTTCAACTCGGACTTGCGCAGCGAATTCCGCTTGGCGAGTAGCTTGGCGAGATGCGTCCGCAACGGCATCTTGTATTCGGGCTCCAGCAACTTCAGGAGTTTGACAAACTCACCGTCGGCTACGACAGATAGTGGTCGCAGTGAACCAACAACCCAGTCGAGGATGTGTTCTGTGATCACACCAGCACGACGCGAATCACAGGTCCTGGCAGAGCTGGACGGAAAACACGACGCGACAGACTTCGTTCCGCAAGAGGTAGTTGCTGACACCTCTGGTGTTTTACCTCCAGCAATAAGAGCATGCTGCTCCTTATGATGCGTCTTCAAGTGCGAGAACAAGTTCGTTGCGCCACTTTGTTCGCACGAGCGTTTGACTTCAAAATAATTAATTACACTTTACCGATCCACCCACCTCTACGAAATATGCCCATACTGGCGACCGTTTTGTTCTAGAAGCTTTTGCCGACATTTCTTCTGCAGCTAGCTCGCGTAACAAAAATGAACTCAGACCTTGTCCTGCCCAAAGACAGAAAATACAACCTTCGGACACACTGTGACTTTCTTCCCCACAACAAACAACAGCAACAGTTCGCCACAGCCACTTTCAAGTTCAAGTACCGGTACGCATCAGCAGCTGTAACTGACTACAGTCCAAACTGTCATAGCCGAGCGCGGCTGGACAGGGCTAGTAGTGTAGTAACTTACTAGTCCGCGCGCTCGCTGGATCAGTATACGCACTAACTGAACAGTGACTGTCTGCCACCAGTGTACAATGCAGTACACAGCGCGGTTTGGACCCGGTACACACAGTAGCACAGTGCACGCAGCACTCACACTCACAGCACTGTTACTCGCGTTCTGGCACCTCACGCACGTGCATCTACATAGTTCAGTAGTATTGTTATATCGTTAGTGACACCTAACGATAATCGATAATTTCCTTAGCGATTAGCAAACGGTTAATCGATCATATCGTTTCAGCCCTAGTCGTGACTGAAGCCTATGTGGAGGTACGCACTCTTGATACGCTCTTGTTAATAGAGCTGTACTCGTACTCTAAGGCTCTGCTGTCCTTGCCTGCCAGTCCTCGCAATTCGTATTTTTTTTATCTCGCTTACACTTTCATTTTGGCACAGTACTGTCGTGGACAAGGAAATCCAGTCGAATGACCGGGGCCGGCGCCCTCAGCGCGTACAGAACGTTGCATGCAGTGCACATGTTGATCTGACGCGACCAGCGCGCTGCAGCGCATAAATGCATGTGTGTACTGCTTACCCACGCCTGCATGGCCAGCGAGCGCCCTGGGGCCGCTAGACGTGCGACCGGACTTCCATGTCCACGACAGTAGGACTAAAAAAAAACTAATTTTAACGTTTGGTACTGCATGCAGCACAGGCTAGGAACCTTGCCCCGTTGATGATGTCACTTGAGTACTACTTTTACTATTTCTACACTGAACCCTTGGCTAGGCATGTACATAAGACACAATGAAGACATAATTATCATTATTTTTAAAGTGAGCAAAGTGACATTTACTTACCTCACACATGTCAGATTAATTGAAATGCTGAAAGAATAAATGCACTGAGGGGTCGGGTCGGCAAGGGTACATAACCAGGAGTGTGCCCAACGCCCACCCTACATGGTCTGCTGCGATGGGCTCGCCCAGGGCAGAATTCCTTTATTGAGGCAACTTTTCGGCGGCAGTATGATCCTATGTGTACGCCTTTCCGCACTATTCACGCTACGTAAGTTAGTCAGTTTCACCAGTTTAGGAAGCATACACGAATCCACAAGATCTGCTCCATTGTGACCATTGCATTGGCAATGGACGTCTTCTTTGCCCTTTCGATCTCTGGCTACGCAAGATAGCAACAGTGAGTCTAATTACTGCGAAAGACTGTTGTCATTTTTAATACGAACAATATTCTGCCGTGGGCTAAGGGATCGCCGAGCTGCACACTCTTGGTTACGTATTTCTGGTGCCAGCAAACAGCTGCCTTGTTTAATCTACTATGGCCTGTATACGTCTACCCAGGTGACACCATCAACAGGGTATTTTAGCAACTAAACACATCCTATAGATGCTGGTTTCATTCAACTCATTATTGGATAGCACACTTCCGCGGGACAATGGCTCGGGGTGACGTTGGCCATTGATGGGTCTCAATGAATTTCTGAGTTGTCCTTTCGATGAAAAATCTGCAGTCTACAAACTGAAACCACCCTCCAGAGGGATGCGGAGACTGGAAACGGCACTGTAAGATAAGCCGATTTTACCTACGCATGTGCAAGTACTGAGGCTTCAAAACGTACAAAAACTGTTGTCTGAGCTGGTTACAACCGTGGACTGTGCGCACGGTGTCACTGCGGGCGTGACACATCGGACACCAATCGCCAAGCCCATGCATGTAACACATGCATAGGTTGCCCTGCCAGCAGGCCAGTGTATTGTCGATGCACTCATATCTCTCTTATCCGGGCAGCCCCCGGGACCGGGCGCTACCCATAACTTGGACATGGCCGTAACTCTGAATCATGAAGGTTTTGATGGGCAAGGGCCAGAGATCTTGCATATCGCATCACTATTTCCACAAATATTGGCAAAAGAGTAACAATATTTCCACAAATATTGGAAAAAGAGTAACAAATTTCCACTAATAGTGGCAAGAGAGTAACAATTTTCCACTAATATTGGCAAGAGAGTAGCAATATTTTCACGAAAATCACCCATAGGGTGCCCGGGTAGACCGAGGTACCCGGAACTTGGAGGTCTGCTTGAGGGAGATAAGAGTGAACAAGATTTCTTGTAATCTTTTCACGTACAACCTAGCCATGCGTGGGTGCGTCAGCTAACTATTGTTTGATTTGTTTGTTTGAAGTTTTATTTAAAACATCGCAAACCAAACGGGAATTGATGCCCAATATTATGATGGCGATAGAATAAAGAAAGAAATGTGGCTATTAACGCGCTAAGCCTGTCCTGTTCACGTACTGCGCGATCAGGCTCATTTCCCCCAAAGATGTCCTTTCACCTACAGCGATTTCAAGTGAGTGCAGTGTTGTACAGACCACTGTGTACAACACAATACGTCTGCAGAAATCAGTCGAATCTTAACCACTGACGGTGTATCGGAAAGCCAATGAGCAGAGATTTACAGAACTATACGGTTGGTAGAAACTGGGCGGGAACGACAAAGTTCAAATTGCTGCAATTCCTGAAATTTCCTCAAGCGAAGTGCGCATATGGTGCTATTCAGGCACCAACTTCCTTAGTCTACCGTCCAGCCGCAGTCAATTGAGGAGCGAGGGGAGGGGATTCCCTGTAACAATACATTGACCTGGGAGTGGTTGTTGCAGTGATGGAAGGTTTCCTGAGTCAATGCCTCGACGAGTATCGCGTGTGCTCTGGATGGCAGTATAAAAGGAGTCGATGGGAAAAGTGCTAGCTTGAAACAATGCGAGGAATTGGCTTTCCTACTAAGGTTGCGTTTGTTCGGTGCCATTCCCCCACCATTCCAAAGTCATTCCGCCGTGTTTTGGTTCCGGAGCGTTTGTTTGATGCACTGGACAGCGTTTGTTCGGGGCAATTCCGATTCTGGTCGCAGAATGAAGGGGGCAGAATCGATTCTGGCGATTCCTAAGAAAAAGCGGAATGAGGTCTCATTCCGAGCGGAATGAAAATGCGCGGAGGGGCTTCGTCGCTGCTGCATACCTCTCCAACAAAGCTTCAAACGCGATTATCTATATACAGAAATGTTAGCGGACATTGTCCAGGGTATAGGCTGGCACTGTAACCTCGGCATAGTTACTTGTTCGTGGTATTTTGACCCTTCACTGCCTGAGAAAGTGTGTACCAGGGATAGTTGATGAACTGGAAATATACCCTCGCAACTCAGCTCTTCATCGTCGTCAAGCAGGGCCTCTAGAATCACAGGGAGGCAAGCCAGAACTAGTTTTCGAGCCAAAGACCCAAGACCAAAAGAGGCACTGAGCCTGCCACTTCACTTCTTCTTACAACAGTGCCTCGTCTCTGTCAAATAAACACGGGAGCTAGAGACGTTTCTGTGAGTGATACGAGGTCGAATAGCATGATGAAGTAGCGGCCAAACGCCGCCTGCAGGCACCCTAGTTACGGGCGCCCGTTGATCTACGCCGTGTTTGGCCGCTCCTTCTTCATGACTGTCGTCAGGACATGCAGAAACTTACGGAAGCAAGTAGCAACTACCAGGACTGGCATGCAGTAGTCTTCGCGAGGCTGCAAGTAACACTCCAACAGGTAATACTCATACTCCAGAAAACCCAAAACATTTGACCGTCATTCCGTTTCCAGAGCTAGAGTGGCGCAAAACTTTTGCCACATTCCCGGATGCATGCCGGCGCGTTTGTTTGCTACGCTCAATTCCGCGATGGGTACCAACGTCATTCCATGCCCATTCGGGAATGAACGAAATGCAACCTAATTCTACCGAGATTGCTACTCCTAATAGGGTCTTCCTGGGTTATCCATGGTCGTTTTGGAATGATTTTTGTATTTTTCTATAAAATCCTTTCTATCATACAAACACCAGTAAAAATAATTTTCTGTTCGCATGCTTCCGGCGTACTCAACTCAATGGACAGGCAGGGGGACATTTCTTTGCTCATGGTTATGTATCCAGGGGTCCAAAGTTCCAAACACTTTCCTAAAGTTAAACCACCGCCAGTAAAGGGGAAAACACAACGCGTGGCAGCGGGCTCATTGGGTACATCTGCCACACAAAGAACTAGGAGTCAATAGTAATGTCCTACCTCGGTTGCTTCTTGCAAGCAAGTACAGCAAGTACAGCTCCTCCAACAGCAATGCCAACAATAGCTCCAGTTCCTATGCCTCCTCCTCCCTCTGTAGAATTAGTGGTAGTGGAAGGAGAAGAAGACCCATTCATTGTCATACTTGTTGGATTTGTCACATTTGTCATATTTATCATAACTGATTGTGGACCATCGGTTGGCGTAAGCAAGTTTGGGTGCAAGTAGTCATCGCGTCGTGGGCAGAAACGTGGATGTAGTGGTTTGGGAACCGCACGTTGTGACATTTAGGGCAACAAAAGGACATAAACGAAAATGAGGAATTCAGTACCAGAGGTCGAGCAGCAACTAGTTACTTCTGACATGCTGAGTGGTGTGGTACAGACGTACTAGTCGTACACAGAGTACAAAGTGAACAATGAGCATGCCACCAAAGCCACGTGCACCTTTGCACTGCTAGAAAAAAGGCTGCCATAATTTTGCCCAGTACACGTTGCAGAAAGGTGTTGTTACTGATGTAATAGTCACTTCTGAGCCAGTAGTTGCTGTGACAACTGTGCTTCGTCTGGTAGTCTCCTACGTTCCTATGTGTGATACACAACTGGCTTTGGGTGACTGGGGAATTGGCATGCTACAAGCAAATCTATGCATTTTTTAGTAGTGTTGTGCTCCAAGTTTGCCCTTCAAGAGAACTAAGAGATCTGATGATAATGATCAAATACAAAGGGAACCACACAATACATAAAGTGGTTATAACGCGTTCTCAAACTCGGTGCAGTGATTGGTGCATTCAGTGCAAGTGCAGAGCAAGGCAAACGACAGATTAGAACGTACCCGGGGTAGCAGATGGAGATTCTGCAAAATAGAATAGAGCAAAAAATGCACGCACACAGAGAAAAGCACACACATACCAGCACACAAGGGCACGCGTTATAGACAGAAAAACACAGATGGAAACAAACTACTCAAAACCGACAATGTAGATCGCAACTACGCGAGCCATCCAAAGCAAATAACGACCTAAGAACCTTGAAATCAATTCTCAAGCTATGATGAAGCAAAACTTCAAGTTGACATCACTTCTTTTTTGTAGTACAGGTGGAATCCTGATAATTCGAACCTCAAAATACCAGCAAAAAACTTCTAAATATCCGGACATTCTAATTATCCAAAAATGAACCCACAACACAATATGTATGTCAAAATGCTCCCATGGTCACGCAGAGTTGCGCTATGGACCTTAGACACAGATTTCACGGATACTGAACTGACCGGCACAGCCTGCTCATGCAAACTGAACTGACCGGTACAGTGTACAGTGAACTTCGAATTACACTTTGCTAACTTCGAATTATCAGCACAAATCCCACACATTTTGTATAGAAGTGGAATTCGTGGGACTTCGAATTAACCAGGCATGTCCGGCTCGAGCGGGTTCGAATTATCAGAAAATTTTATGTGGGAATCGTATTGACAGAAATCGGTCCTGGAAAAACTTCTAATTAAGCAGTATGTTCGAATTAAGCCATATTCGAATTATCAGGATTCCACCTGTATGTGTGCAGCACGGACATAGAAAAGATGACAAACTTTGGTTTGACTCTATATTCTTGTTCTCGACAAAAGAGCGAGTTGGCGAGTAGATTCTGAATAATATGAGTGTTCGGTGCTCGGGAGCCTGGTCGGAAGTGTCATTGAGCACGAGTCATAGTTTCATATGAAGAATGATCCATGGTAAAAGATACGGCTGGCAGAGTGAGCAGTGCTTCAGTCACGTGACCGGAGTTACTACCAAATTCCTGGATCAGCTGAGTCAATCTGCCCTGCAAGCTAAGCACAGCAAACAGTGTCCATGGAGAAGTGCTCGGTGGAAACTTCAGCGCTTCCGCTCCGAATATTTCCAACAGAGATGAGGGCAAAATATTGCGACAGGAGCGAAACAGTTGTCTAGAGGCGTAACAGGTATCTGTCAATGGAAGTGTCCTTGCTGTGCTGGTGGGTTATGCTTTTCTGTATTGGTACCGCTAGGAGCTCATGGTGGTGACGGGTTGAGGACGTAGTAAGTAGTGATGAGGGTGCGAGAAAACCAGAGTGAGTCCTCATTGCCGCAAATCGTCATGGCGTGAACTCAATTGGTGGAACCTGCATGGCAAGAAGCACCAGGAGCAATGCATACCATCAGGGGTGTCACAGGGCAGTGGCACGCCCGGGGGTTTGGTTTCCCGCGGAAAAAAGAAGGATTTTTTCAGCCAACAGAGCACGTTGTAGCCTTCTCTTATTGCGTTCCTGGATCAATTGGGCGGGCCATTCTGGATGAAAAGTGGTACAACCATGGTCATACTGGTCCGTGCCGTGTGTGACACCCCTGACCATGCTGCTCAGTGTTGAGCAACTCAAGAAGAAGGCGAAAAGGATTACTAATGGCTGTCATTCTGATGGTTGTGCTACGCTCTGACTAGTCGGCACCACTATGCACATGCTCCACTGGAATCTGAGAATTGTCAGTCAGAAGTGCGCAATGTAACTTGCTTCAGACCCCTCCGATGATGCTGAAGTCGTTTCAGAGCGTGGTGGAAGACAGCGCTGTTTTAGCACATTATTTTGGGTGCGTCACATGTACGTGGTGCTGGTGCATGCGCATGCTGCGGTTGTGTGGAAAATAAGTCTTCTTCATGAGTTTGCCATGTCTAGTTGGGTTTCCGCGGTCTCCTGGTAATTGCAGTCTTTTTCCTATGTTGTTTTGCCGTCAATTGTTTGAGTGTGGAGATGGCATCGGGCAGGGAGCAGTCAGAGTAATTGAGTTACAACAATGCTGAACCGTCGCTGCATGGTTAGGCTTGCAGGATACCTGTAAGTGTAACTTCTACGGGTGTTTTTGTTGCTTGTGACAACAGTGCTGCTCACACCTGAACAAAGAGGTACTGCCATACCTCAGCCTAAGCCAAGGCACAGAAGCCACCTGCAAACAGCTTCAGTGTATCCTTATCAACGATTCTTGATCAAGAAACAAATCTCCAACAAAATACTCCCGAGTCTGCTTATGCCCATGTAGGCTAAGCATAATGTACAGGGGCGTCAGAGGGTGGCTGGGAGTGGTGCGACGGGGGGTCGGGGGGTGTCCCCCGGAGAAAAATATAAGGATTTTTCGGCTAACAGGCCACCTTTTAGCGCTCTACAGCCAGCCGCAAAGGAGGGTTCCCCTAGCACTTATTCGACAACCCCACTCCAGCTCCAAAAACATACACGTACTTCTCATGGATTTTTGGTATTTTCTGTACATCGTAGGTAGCCAAGCAAGGCAAATGGAACCCATTCAATGATTCAGGGCCATTGCCCTCGAAAAAATCGCAAAATTCGAAGTACAACTACAAGCGTGCTGCGCGGTCTAGCGCCAGCGGCTATGCAAAAACGTATGTCGTGTCCTGCAAAAGTCTACCGCGTCGCGTACACTATGTACACGTCCGGCCTGGGCAGTCGCGAAGTAATTATTTTAGTTGTTTTTAGGGAGAGAAGAAGATCCTTTGTTTTTGTTCGGTGGGATTGAAAGATCTGCCAGTGGACCGGAGAGCTACAACAATGGAAGCAGAAGAAAGCGCTTGCGGAATCTTCTCTGTCTTCGTGGCAACAGGACTTTATTTTTCGAGAGACTTTCGTCCTGTCGTCGCGGACGAAATTCTTGTTGCTGCTACCAGGAAACTCGGGGAACGAAACGATCGTAAATCGTTATAATATAGGTGAAGCGGGTCGTGTCGGTGAACAGCTGCAGAATATTCTGCCGCCGTGGAGCAGCAGTCCAAACACTTTTCAGCTTCGGAGAATGAAGCGCTTCCCTTTTCTGTTGACAAGCGCTGCGTTCGCGGGTGTAATGCATTTTCGAATCCGCTTGCAGTAGATCGTCAGGAGCCAGAGGCACTAGGTAGGTGTCGTTGTGGAAAGAATATAATTATTATGTTGTAGCTGACAAGTGACATACATGTAGTGTCTCTTGACGTGCTGATCGCCATTGTAACATGGTAGATCTTGGAAAATTTTAGTTCTGGACCCAGTGATCGCCGCCAGCTCAGCTCTGTTTCCGTCAAGTTTGCAGTGAATGCGTCCGTGAGGAATCCATCGTCTGGTTATCTCTAACCGTGACTCCAAGCCTATCGTAATGGATAGCCGCCTGGAGTCTTGGGCGTAGCCCTGGTAGCTGCTAGTGCTAGGCATCAAGTCTGTATGCTCCTTGCAATGAAAGTAACAGTTGCGATGTTTTGTACAAGTCCGAAGATCCTTGAATTTTTTTATTGCTTTTTCGGATGAATTGGGTGGACCATCCTGGACGAAAAGTGGTACGACCATGGTCGTAGTGGTCGTACCGTGTAGCAAACCCAAGTAAAGGCCCTCTGCTAAAGAAAACACAAGGTAATCATTGCTGGTAGATGTTGGCGGTCGATGGACTACAGAACTGAGGAAACTGAAGCATCCAAAAGAAAGCTGCTTGGCCAGTAAAAGCTGATTGGCCAGCCCATTGACAACCATTCTTCAAAACACAGTTACAAAACATGTTAGCTGTTTACTTTGACAATACGGAATGGCACCTTAATAGGGACGTTGTAATCATGTTCCCTAACCTTGGCAAGTTGGGAGTGTAGTCCATGTTCCATTAACTTGACAATTCACTGAAGACGGCATGGAGATATTATCGTAACCAGTCTTACATGATACACTCCTGTTGGTGCCAACAGCACTCCTGTTGGTACCAACAGCACTCCTGGGTATAGTCACCAATGTTGCCGAGCTTAAATCCGGACAATGTGTTGCTGTGCACAGAACCAAAGTATGAAAGAAAACAGATCAGTGCCTACTGACAGACAACACAGAAGATGATCTCCAATGTCAACTGAGTGATTTGTATGTTGATACGGATTTTGGATGATCTTGTCACAACTCAGATAACGTGAAAGTAAGACAGCTGAAACGGCCAGTGTTCATTTGAATGGATTCCTGGCTATAGGCTCTACATGACTGGTATCAAATCACAGTGGTAAAGCTGTGTTCACTGACAGCATTGGAGGAATCATCTAATTCCTGCCATGCCATGAAGCAATTGGCTTGCGCCACTGCACAATAAACTTTGACATCGACATCCGTGGTCACCAGCTTTCTGTGAACACCATAGCATGCTTTATAGCATATTTTAGAATGGAAGAATCCGGGTTACGTTATATACAGCAAGGCACTTACGTTGACATTCACCCATGGTCCATTGGAAGTTTTGTCCACAAACAAAGTTGACAGTTGCCATTGCCATTCCCACTGCTGGTACATGATTACAATCCACCACGTTAGTGTCATTGCATTCCAACATGCAACCTGGAGTGGAGAAGTAAAAAAGTCCTATGTTACCTTCAATCTCGTGAAGATGGGCTTCGGCTTCAGGTGGCATCCTCCATTGACATTGCCAACCCCACGCGAGGACTTGAACTCGGGACCTTGCTTGTCATGAACAATGCTCTAACAATCTGAGCTATGGGACCAGGCCAAACCTACAAGGCGCTGACAAGTTGCTCACTCCAAAGGCAACTCACAATCTGGTAAAATGTGAATATTAAATTTTGTTTGCTTGGAAGAGATACTGGACGAGATATTCCTTTCACTACCAGCTGACCGCTCAAGCGACAATGCACTCAATGCCAGGTTGTCAGCTGAGCTGTGCACCCCCCAGCGCCAGGGCACTTTTTACCTCCAGTTCAAAAATCGAAAAGCCAACCTTTCATGGATTTTTGGTACATTCTGTACTGAATATCGTTTTCTAAAGTATACATCGCAGGTAGACAACTCATAAAGGAAGCCATTGCCCTCGAAAAAATCGCAAAATCCGAAGTACAAGCGTGCCGCGTGTTCTAGGGTCAGCCGCTGTGCAACAAGTCATGTCATGTGAAAGTGCACCGTGCGCCGCATGTACTACATACACCCTGTGTAGCCAGTTAAGTTAAGAAGTAAAGTTAGTTGTTGTTTTGGAGAGAGAAGCAGGTCCTGTTTTCCGTTCGGTGGGATTGAAAGATCTGCCAGTGGACCGGAGAGCTACAAACTTGAAGCAGAAGAAAGTGCTCGCTGAAGCTTCCCTGTCTTCGTGGCAACAGGACTTCAGTTTGCGAGAGACTTTCGTCCTGTCACTGCGGACGCAATTCGTGTTGCTTGCAGAACACTCGGGGAATGATCGTAAGTCGTTTCGTGAAGCAGATTGGGTCGCTGTACAGCCACGGATTGTTCTGCCGACATGGTGGTCCTTTGTTCTAATAATTATTAGCAGTCCAAACTCATCTTTTCAACTTCGGAGAATGAAGCGCTTCCCTGTTCCGTTGACAAGCTAGCGCTTCCCTGTTCCGTTGACAAGCTAGGCGTTCGCGTATGTAATGCACTTTCGCATCAGCTTGCAGTAGATCGTTCGGTTTTGAGGTAGATGTCATTGTGGAAAGAATAATATTACAGTCGTCCCTCTCTAATCCAGCACTTTATAATCCAGCACCCTCGATAAACCAGCACAATTTTCAGTAGCCAAAATGTCCTCTTCATGCACATTCTAGCAGAAAATCAGATTTGTTAATCCAGCACCCTCCCTAATCCAGCAGATTTCCGTGGCACAAATGGTGCCGGATTATAGAGGGACCACTGTATAATTGTGTTGTAGCTGACATACCTGTAGTGTCCCTTGACCGTGCTGGTCGCCATTGCAAAATTTTAGTTCTTAGGTAGTTCTGGACCCTAACGAGCGCCGCCAGCACTGTTTCCGTCAAGTTTGTAGCCTCATGCAAAATGCGTTCGTGAGGAACCCGTCGTTTGTTTGTCTCTACCCGTGACCCCAACCGCCTATCGCAATGGATAGCCGCCTGGAGTCTTGGTAAATAGCTAGGCATCAGGTCTGAACCAAATTCTATGCTCCGTGCAATGAAAGTTGACGGGAAAGAGAAAAATAATCACACCGACTCAGCGAGGTGGAAGTGCGTGGGAACCGATTTCTCGCGCCGCTCTGCTAAAAATCGGAACGCATTTTCAACGACGCTGGTTCGTTCTTTTTTTCCAAATGGCAACCGATACTCCTGGCAGCGTATTTCAATGGGTATTGACCTCTTCCAGGGCCCAGTTACCCTATACGGCAGCTAAACATCTCCAATACAGTCAGACCTCGCCTAACCGCACACATCCGTTTCCACAAAATATCCGGATAGGCGAGGGAACCGGATAATCGAATACACATACTGTATGTGTGCATAACATGTGCTGTAAATCGGTCACCAGCGATATTCTTCTGGATGGCGAGGGATCCGGAATAAAGAAGACCGGATAAGCGAGGTCTGACTGCACCCTGAAAAAGGGCAGAAGTTGTGGCCCAAACTGGGCGAAGTTGGCCTGTCGACGGAAGTTGACAGCGGCACTGGAACTGCATTTTTTGCTGGTCGACTGCAGTCGACAGCAGCAATGGGCTGTCGACAGCGCACGGCTGTCGACAGCGCAATATGGCTGCCGAAAGTCTCGATTGGGCTTCAATGGCAAGAAAATTTGAATTTTCAAATCGTCAGAACACGAGTAGGCCATGGTTTCCCCTGGATTTTGGAGACTAGTCAGCCCGGACAGCCCGGGGAACACGCTGATCATCTGCGTCTTGTTTCAAGCTTCCCCTCGTACCTCACATGACTGCCTTTCCTTCAAGAAACATTTGTTCTATGTCGTACGACTTTGGCTTCGTTCTGGAATACTCCTTGTGTCGTCGCTGACAAACTCGGCTCCGAGAAGCCCTTCCCGATTTGTTCCCAGCTTAGATCGATATTTTCCCAGATAGAGGACTATCCTCTGGTTGTCTTCCCCAAGTGTCATTAGAACAACAATGATAATCTGTCCTCTGAGTGTGGCGTACGTGTGATGTACGAATAAGAGAGTAATCGGAAGGGCTATCGTGCGAGGGAATAAAACCCCCCGACGACAATTGGCGCCCAACGTGGGGCTCGAACCCACGACCCTGAGATTAAGAGTCTCAGGAAGAAAGCACCCAAAACAACCAGAATGCGCACGATAAGCATGCGCACAACAACAAGAACATGTACGATAATCTCCAACTGGCGCAGTCCGCGCGCGGTCCGCACCAACGTGCCAAAAGGGGCACACACATGCCAAAAGGGCAGGGACAACAAAAGTATTGAACGTTTTTGTTCCCTTCTTGTCAAAATAATACTGGGAATGATGGAAATAAGCTAAAAGACTACAACTGTAAGGGAAGGAAGTTCAGAGATACATCACTCCCATTATGTGTAGAAGTGACACGAAAAAAAGCGTGGAAATTCAATAAGTGACAAAAACGAAGCGAAAAGAAAAGAGAAAATATCAAGACAACTAGCACTGCCCGACAGGTGACACTTGATTCGTGTGTGTTTTGTTGCGTGGTAGGTCTTTGTTACATCTTGTCGTGTCGGAAGGTTTTTTCCTGCTCCAAAGAAATCACGTATCACCGAAAAAAGCACGGTTTCAAGTTTGATCCGAACGTGACAGCCGGAAACCAGCTGATTCACTTCAAGTGATTCTTGCGTGGAAGATGCGGAATTCTGTCCCTGCGGTCAGGTCGTTCCTTGGTGTCTCGGGCTATCGCCGCAGATTCATCCATGCGTTTGCGCAGCGGTCAGCCCCACTGACGGCTCTCACAGGTAAGAATACGCAGTTTGTCTGGAGGAAAGCTTGTGATGCTTCCTTCCGCGCCCTGAAGTCTGCGCTATCGAGTGCTCCGGTTATGGCATTCCGGGATGCCGGCCCCTTCTATCTGGACACACATGCCTCTAAAGTGTCCATTGGTGGTGTACTGAGCCAGGTACAGGACCAGGTGGAACGCGCCATTGCGTTTGGCGGCTGAATAATGACGAACGCGGAGCGTAACTATGACGCCAGTGACCGCGATGCCCTGGCCCTTGTCTTCTTCGCAAACCACTTCCAGCATTGTCATACTTGCCAAGTACTGAGAGTGCTTTTTCTGGGTCGCCATGGCAAAATCCCGGGATTTGCCTTGGTTTTTCGGGATATGTCGTATTTTCCAAAAAAAACCTTTTTAACTTTTGATGGCACCAACATTTCGATAATAGATGATTGATGGTGATAATCGGATCACATTTACACATGTTCAAGACTCGAAAATGGAGGTTTTCAGGGACTGTTTATGGAAGGAGCACTGGTACTGCATGCTATGGTGATCCGGAATCAATAAGGATAACTACTGGCCTGTGACAAGTCATGTGAAGTGCTCCAAGTACAATATCAAGCTTGTTTCTTGTACAGTGAATTTCGGGATAATCGACAGGAATTTCGGGATCGCGGGAGTTCATCTAAAATTGCGGGATAATCCTGAAAAAATATGCAGGGGCGTCACAGGGTGGTTGTGAGTGGTACGACCGAAGCGGGGGTCCGGGGGTATCCCGCGGAGAAAAAATTCGGATTTTTCGGCCAACAGGGCACGTTTTAGCACTCTACAGCCGCAAAGGAGGGTTCCCCTACAGTCCATTCAGAAAAAGATGGGCCCTGGCTCTGGCGAGCTCCCGTATTTGGCGATTTTTCGTGATTTCATTGTACACAGTGCAGTGCTGCGAAATTTGATCTTTGAAAAAGAGTCCAAAAAGGGTACCTGAACTGGGGTTCGAACCCCACAATGCACTGTTGCAGGCAGGGTCAAACGGCCTGGATTTTGATGGTTTTTTCCAATTCAATGCTTCTGGGGCAAAACCTGGCCGATATCCTATTCTTGTTATGGCTTGCTTTTTGGACAAATAGACTTCAGAAACATAATTGGAAGAGGATTCCATAGGGGATTGCAGAAAAAAATTCTAAAAAAACTCAAAGTTTGACCCATTTATGGCCAAAAGCTAGAAGTCCATCTTTTTCTGAATGGACTGTAGCACTTATTAGACAACCCCACTCCACTCTCCAGCTCAAAAAAACGGTTCTCATGGAATTTTTGGAAATTTCTGTACATCATAGGTGGCCAAGGCAAAAAGGAAGCCATTGCTCTCGAAAAAATCGCAAAATCCGAAGTACAGTTCTAGCGCCAGCCGCTGTGCAAAAACGTACATGTATGTCATGTCCTGCGGCTGCGAAAGTGCGCCGCGCCGCATGCACTAGTCTATGATTGTACATGATGTACACGGCCGGACCGCGGACAGTCGCGTTTTTTGTTCGGTGGGATTGAAAGATCTGCCAGAGGACCGGAGAGCTACAACACTGGAAGCAGAAGAAAGGGCTTGCGGAATCTTCTCTGTCTTCGAGGCAACAGGACTTTAGTTTGCGAAAGACTTTCGTCCTGTCGTCGCGGACGCAATTCTTGTTGCTGCTACCAGAAAATTCGGAGAACGAAACGATCGTAAGTCGTTTGGTGAAGCGGGTCGTGTCGGTGAACAGATGCAGAATGTTCTGCCGCCGTGGAACAGCAGTCCAAACACTTTTCAACTTCGGAGAATGAAGCGCTTCCCTATTCCTTTGACAAGCGCGGCGTTTGCGGGTGTATATGTAATGCATTTTCGCATCAGCTTGCAGTAGATCGTCCGGAGCCAGAGGTACTAGGTAGGTGTCGTTGTGGAAAGAATATAATTATGTTGTAGCTGACAAGTGACATGCTTGTAGTGTCTCTTGACCGTGCTGATCGCCATTGTAACATGGCCGATCTTGGAAAATTTTAGTTCTGGACCCAGTGATCGCCGCCAGCACTGTTTCCGTCAAGTTTGCGGCGAATGTGTCAGTGAGAAACCCATCATCTGGTTGTCTCTACCCGTGACTCCAACGGCCTTTCGCAATGGATAGCCACCTGGAGTCTTGGGGTGCTAGCTGCTAGGCATCAAGTCTGAACCAAAGTATGCTCCTTGCAATGAAAGTTGTGATGTTTTGTACAAGTCGGAAGATCCTTGAATTTTTTTATTGCTTTTTTCGATGAATTGGGTGGACCATCCTTGGACGAAAAGTGGTACGACCATGGTCGTAGTGGTCGTACCGTGTGTGACGTCCCTGATATGGATACTTGGCAGGTATGCATTCTCTGCTTGGTCGCGAGTTCAATGCGCGGACATATAATTCTGCGCTAACTGCGTTGCGGGCAACAAAGAAAACAAACCTTTGTTGCCTTTCACCATGAATGATTGTGTTGTTGACAAAGGCGGAAAGACAATACCAAGTCTGTGCAATAGGTCCTGCGAGCCAGACGTTCACCGCACTTTGTTAAGTTATATGTACAAGTGTCTCTTACCTTGAATGATGATGGAGTACGCTGTTGACAAAGGCTTGACTGCTACAACACATCGGTCCACTACATCCTGGGATGGCTGCTTTGCACCTCCAGAAGTATCTACGAATCTACAATTAAAACTGTGTGTGTGTGTGTGTCTGTGTGTGTCTGTGTGTGTGTGTGTGTGTGTGTGTGTGTGTGTGTGTGTGTGTGTGTGTGTGTGTGTGTGTGTGCATGTATGTGTGCACTGCTTACCCACGGCTGCATGGCCAGTGCTCTGGGGCCGCTAGACTTGCGACCGGATTTCCATGTCCACGACAGTATTGAAAATATTTCAATGGACATCATGATAGCGGTGCAGGAATTCTTAGCACCCACAATGTTTGTAGATGTATTTAGTAACCCAAGTAGAGAACTCTACAAACAGTTGCATTAACCTGTTGATTTTGCTGGTTATGAATCTTACCTTGAATGATGATGGAGTACGTTGTTGACAAAGACTTGACTGCTCTATCACATCGGTCCAGTACATCCTGGGATGGCTGAGAATAAGTTGGCACATTCTCTACAAATCTACAATTAAAACTGGTCTTGTATGTTGTAGTGCATGTCACATTGAACATCACACCAGCTGGGTTATCTCTGGTAAGCATTATGCTGGAATCATTTCCCATAAAACTGAAAGTAGAGTTCACATATTCCAACAGTCCATTTTGAGATGTTCCAATCATTGTGTTCACCATCTTTGTTTTAAGATCTAAAGTGGATGTCCAAGTGACGTTCATACCTGATGAACCCACAGTATTACATGGTATATCATATCTCTGATCAGTGTAGTTGAAAACCATTGTTGTAGGAGTGACAGAAGTACGACTTTGCTTTGCTGTACATTATAATGGGGATAGAATGTTAATGTTCACACACGGACAACCACATACACACGCACACGCCCCTCCCCACACACACATACACACACACACGCACACACACACACACACACATACACACACACATATGTGTACACATAATAGTACCCAATTCACGGAAAGAACTGTTTCCTCTTTTGTGGACTCATCAGCGCAGCACAGAGAAAGGCCGAGCCAGATTGCAATAAAAAATACATTTTCCAAAGCCAGATTTAAACCAGGTCCGAATGTACCTTGCCAGAGTGCTCAATCTGAAAAGTCAGTGAGCTCAGCATAACCCAAACACATGCCGTTCAATATGAACATCTTCATACTCCGAGTTCAGTTGCTACGCAACCTTCCCATGTAGAAGGTAATGCAGGCATGCAAGGAAGACGGCTAAAAGTCTCCCGTAGTCGATACTGGCTCTCAGCCACAAATGCCCTCTAAACCCTCTCTGAACTCCCTGTCCGCTTTCACACTAGCTCAGTCGTATTATTCTACTACAAGTATCACCTTTCCATTTTTTTCCATTTTCACCTTCCATAAAATATACATTCCCCTCCCCAACTTCTACTCCTCCCCACTTTTCGTTGCACGGAAGTGTCGCTAAATCTGAGACCTCAGGTCGGCGGAAATACTCCAGTTTCACCACCACACCTGGGACTGCAGGCACCTAAATAATACAGAAATCTGTTCTCAAATTTCGTAGTTTCTCGTTTAAAAAATCTGGCATAGAAACATAATGACGCCGTGTGCAAACAAGTGTCTAGTTGTGTTTCGTCGTCGTGTCAATAAACAGTCTTCTAAATGTTATCGTCGTCCCTTGGAGTAAGTGTGGAGATGGCACGGGACTGGGAGCAGGTGGAGAAAGGCCAGTTACTACAACTGCACGATGTATTTTAACATGATGCTGCCATGTTATCACGCCTTCATGATTTGCAACTTTTAGGATGCCAGTGTTTCCAATAATTATTAGTTTTAGATCAAGCAATGTTCACTGTATGGCACCATGCAGTATTTCTATGTAAATTCACTTTCAGTGTGATAATGATTTCTGATGAAAAAGGCGTTAAATTCCCTATATACTGCTTTGGGGTGAAGCAAATATTAGCACGTTCGACAAGGTTCGCTCCAAAGTGGATTTGAAAAGAATACAATTTGTTACTAAAGTACTCAAGCATGCAGCTTCACTTGAATTTTATCTGTTTTTCTGGAATGACTGCTGCTCTGCGCCCTTTGTGAACATTACCTGCGCTCGTGGAGCAGCTGGAAAGGACCACTAGTATGTCTTGTTCCTGGTTTAAAAGTGGACAGTCGACATTTGTGCCTTGAAAAAAGGAGTAGAGTGCAACAATGTACGTCTGTAGCTGATTTTTGGGCGCTCCTCGTACATTTTGATGGTAATAGAAAATTCTCAGACCGAAATCAGCGTGTCCGTGGGCGTACAGTTTTCTTGTGAATTTGTTAGTTATTTCGCCTCGTACCTATGTCAGGTGATATTGAAGTGGACAAGATGATTGTCATCATCTATGTACTGTTCATCCAACTTTGCACCGTCCTCGTTGAAAAGTGATGCTGAAAAAAGGTCGATTCGCAAAATATGTTGATTTTCATTGTACTTGAGGACAAGCGATTGCTGGCTACGTCACACGACTGTAGTGTTGGAAGAATGCACAAATGCCGGTATTTGCATTGAATGGAAGCGAGGATATGCAGCCATGAGCATAAATTATAAAAAAAAACTTGGGGGGGGGCAGGACCGCTTGTCAAATTTCTACACAAGCCTCTGGCTCGCAATGGTAAAAACAACATGCATAATTATTGCAATCGAGTTGCCCCCCGCCCCCCCCACTCATCCGGACAGCTTGTTTATTACGACACATCAGACCTTGCTATCGACCCTCACGATAAATAAATATCAACATGACGTACAAAACGCAAGGGTCCCTGCCGAAACTTCTGTACAAAATTTCCTCACTATAACATAATCCGCAATAGCATAATTTTCGCTATAAGTATATAATATAACCTAACCAGTTGATTATATGGGAAATATAAACCTGTATACAAACCGAGGCGAAGCCGAGGTTTGTATATTGGTTTATATTTCCCATATAATCAACTGAGTAGGTTATATTATGCTTATACTGAGCTGATATACAAACTCCCCTCTCCCCCACAAGGGTAGAGATTGGAATTCCAACCCACAACCATGGCTCGACGAGTCTTCCTTTCACCAACCTGTGCGGATCAAGTACAAGACTACCACTGACTCTGTGCAGTGCATGCAGTGCTAGTGCAGTACCATCACACACTCTTTGTGCCTTCACTTCAGTTTAGTACTGAAGTACTAGTTACATCGGAAGTAACAGCTATGCGCCAAGTAAGTTAGTTTGAACCTCACAGTGCTAGTGACCGTTACCGCGCGCAGATCTCACCGCAGGCTCTGTAAAAGAACCGTTTGCTCATTAGACTTTAGAGACATAGAGTTCGTCTCCTTTCCAAAGTAAGAGTAAAATGAATCAGCACGAGCCTGTTGAATCGACTCCCAAACGTTTCTTCTGAGGACGACCACGAATCACGATGCCATTATTCAAGCAGCAGTTTCTAAGAACACTGGCAGTGCCACGGATTATGGCTGCGCATGTTCCGTCCGCTCTGCGAGGGACGCGGAAAGGAGAACATCGATTGGAAAACCATCAGTAGTGAAGTTCCGTCGCCCCTGCTATCTGCATTCTATGTCCATGCAAAAACGCAGGAGGAGCGGCACGCGGGGCTCTTCAGCCGCACATGTCGAGTGCTGCGCTTGACAGACGGAGTGCTGAAACAGCGAAAGAAGGACAGCCTCGAACGCCAGGTGCTGCACAAGGCACATGTTACAAAGGACGACGTTGTATTCTTCATCGTTGACGGGAAAGAGATCCTGAAGTTGGGACCGTCGTGCATGTCGAAAAACCATCAAGGCGGACTGCAGGTCACTAGTGTAATCCTAAAAAAAAAGGAGTTTATGTACCAGTTTATACACCAGTTTATACACCAGTTTATATACCAGTTTATATACCAGTTTATATACCAGTTTATATTCTCGTCATCGAAGTACCTGTTATATGCAAAATACAAGTCTGGAGTGTTGTGTGGGGAGAGATGGGAGTTTGTATACAAGCTCAGTATAACACACTGTATCGCAGCGTTCACTTGGTCCCATGCGCACAGAGACGTCAGTAGAACACAAAAATGTCATCCTGTCAGGTGTCTTTCCAGGCTGAATCACTTTTTTTAATGTCGCCTCAAGGCTCCATATCCTTGCTTCCATTCAACCCACATACTGGCATTCATGCGTTCCTCCAAAAACTACACGTGTGTGGACCTGGGACATAAGGTGTACTTCGAATTAGTATTTTCAATACATACTGTAGACACACTGTAGAAGTTATACACACACTCCCTGAGTTGATCAGAGTGGCTCATAAGGCCACGGTCACACATGCACTTTTTGGCGGCGCCACCAAAGCGGTACTTACGCTTCGGCGGAAAGTTTGGATTTCGCCACGCCAAAATAATGCGAGCGGAACCTCTGCATTCGCGTATCCGCTTCGGCGGCACCTGCATGGCGATGGCTTTGGAGTTTAGTGTTAGTTGGGAGTTTAGTGTGCATCTTCTGGCACTGACTTCTGGTGTTGTTTGGTTGCCGTTTGGTGTTCGGTTTTCATATTGTTCTTCTTTCGCAATGCATTTTATGTTCTGGAGATCTCTCAAACGATACTACATCATTGTGAGTGAAAAGTTGGTGAGGAAATCCATCTCACAACTCCTTGGCCGGGATCGCGCACGATATCCAAATCTCTCCTCTCTTATTTACAAGCAATGCGTCCATCAGAGTATGCAACACTAGGACTGCAACCAGAGTGTAGTAGCGAACTAGTATTCTGCCACACCCTCACATGGAGTCACTGCAACTACAGGCATCCACACTGGGGTCGATGATGGATCTTGGAGGAGGCAATGACACCCTGCAATACAACTATTTGAATTTGATATTAATGCTAGTGCTGAAACGAACATAAAATTTGAGATTCGAACGTTCTCGATGTTAACGAACGAACGAACGAACATTCTCTAACATTCTTGTCGCACGCGCGTGCTCGCGCATGAACCGGCATAGGCAAGAAAATAGTGGAATTTTGGAATACAGTATAGCAATAAACTTTTGTGGCGCACAAATTTTGCGTTTTCGTGAATGCGGCTGGTTTGTGATCAGAATTATTTTCGATTTTTACCTCTTTTGAATATTGTAGTTGTGCTGTCTGCAATGAACGTACTGAGCAGTTTGTGGCAATTTTCTTCTCCAGAATGCGCAATGGCCGCGAAAATAGCGAAATTTAATCACTTGCGAAAGTTTCTAACTTTACAGTACATCTTTTATGATGCTTTCAAAATTTGAGGCACAATGGCCTCCAACTGAGCAATGCCATACTGCTACTGCTGAGGACCAGAACGGTGCGTCACAGCAATGTTTGTCATCAACTTGCTTCCTGTTCAGTGTTGATGCCGTAGAAATAACTGCACTCCCGGAGACGACAGAAGAATGCTGAAAGTTACCGTACTTGTGTTCTCAGCTGCGCATAGAGGTTGCTCGCCGGTTTGCGCTACGGGAAATCCTGCAGGTAGCTGACTTCTCATCCTCGGATTTAGTAAAATGATCCCAAACAACAGAACGGGGAGCACGACCGACAACAGATTCTGACATGGGAACAGTGTGAACTCGAAACAAAAGAAAACTACGAAGTGGTCAAAGGAAAAGCGAGCAGCCAAAATATGTAAGTACATGTATGAGTACTCATGCTTTGTTCCGATATTCGTCTACATGTTGTCGACTCGACTCCACAACTCCAGCCAAGTGCCGGTTTAGATCGTGAACCGCGCACGCGCGTGCGGGTCGTGTACCACCTGGGGTAGCGCTGGTCACAAGCACGCA